GGAAACCGGAGCCCGGGGCCGGATCCGGAGCCCGGCAGGCCGCAAAACCCGGAAACCGGAGCCACCCTCAGCACACGCCGAGCAGCCCGAACTTCTGCTCTCCACCTGAGAGCTGCAGTCCTAATTAGGAGCAGAGACAGGAGAAGCAGTTGACAGCTGCGGTGGCTCTGATCCTCTCTCCCTGCAGTGGGGAAACCAAAATCCCCATGCTCGTCTGCCTGCACCCTGCTGCCCTGGGTCTCTCCCAGCCTCGGGGGAAACCCAGCAGTGTTGTTGTAGGAGTGGGGAAGAGGCAGGCTGGCACAACCCTCTGTATGGTAGCTACCCTTTAGCGAGAAATTTGGGGCTCTCCATCACCATGAAGTGCCCCCACACGCCGTGCAACACCGTAGGCTGACAGCACGACTGCAAAAACCCACTGCCCCTTCACAGTTCTGCTCGTGGTTAATACCAGCATCCAGGTGCTCTCGTCTTCAGCCACAAGTGAGACGTTCCCGGACACCCCACCCCACCCCACGCCGCGCCCAGCCCCTTTCCAGCACAGCAAGAGCTTGCAAGACGACAGCTAAAGGGACAAAACCCATCTTGCATCGCTGCCTACACCATCCCTTCCCCGTGCTAGAGGGCAGGCGGCCGGTTCCCCAAATGGTACCCCCAATGCCATGTTCCTAAGGCAAGCTGAACACTGTTGGAGGTGACTGAAAGTTAACACTGATGCTTCCTTGCCATCCAGATAGCCCTTCACTCCTGTTCCCGAATTGAGGCTTGGAGAAGCAGAGGGAGACCACTTACCTGGGCCTGGATTGACACGTGCGCGTGCACGCCCGGGGCGAGCGCCTGTGCAGGGGAAAGCCTGGCGTCCTTGCTGCTGAAACAACCTTCCCGTCGCTGCCTGTCCTCCGCCTCCCCCAGGCAAGTCCTTCCCAGGCACTGCCGCTTGCCTGTGTGTGGATGTGTGTGCGCCCAGAGCCACTGCAGCATCTCTGCATTAGGATGTGCTCCTCCCTCTCCCTCCCTCCCCTGCGCGCTCCCTCGCTCGCTGGCTTTCAACCACCACTCGGGGTCCCTGGAGAGAGGGTTTTTTTTTTTGCTCTCTGCCTTTACCTCATTTGCCACAGTCCAAGGACCAGTCAGAGAGGGAGAGCGACTTGCAGCATCATACATAATTCATGCTCCTTCCTGAGCCTGGGCTGCTGCTGCTCTCACCAGCTTCAAACACAACCACCCCCAGATTGGACTGATTTGCCTGGGGACCCACCCCATCCTCAGTGCAGAAGGATTCAAGGAGGGCATCCCTGCGGGCCTGAGCTGGGAGAGGGCGGGCCCGGGCCAGCCAGGCAGGGAGGGGAACAGGAGCTCGGCACACAAGGCTTGAGCTGTGCTAAGTGCATCCCTGTTTCATGCAGACAGTGGAACTTGCTCTTGGTGTCATCCCGAGACACCCCGACAAGCTCAGGGAGCCTTGATTTTTTTTTTTTTAGTAACGGCACTTAGCAGCGTGGTTGGGGTGGGCAGGGAGCTCTGTGCACATCTAAAATGGGTGTGTGGGGGGAATAATTCAGAGCCAGATTATATGGGGGCATTCCAGCTCAGCCCCGTTATGGAGGGAGAGCCGGTCTCTCGAGTGTGGAGCTCGTTGCAAGCTGTCGCCCAGAGTCCGCAGGGTGCTGGGATTCAGGCTCCTGGAAAGGGTGTAGTTGCCTGTGGGGACTGGGAATCCCTGTGCCATCCAAAGTGAGTGCCCTGTGGTTCTGGTAACGAGAGCCTAGCTGATGGGCATTCTTGTAAGTTAGTTGCATCGAGGCTTATTTCTTCCCCTGCCATCCTGGTCCTATCTGAGCACCTCCCAGGTAGGACAGGATTTATTCACATGCTAGGATGAGCAAGTGGGGTATGACCACTCTCTGTGCTTTGATGGAGGACTGAGACGTGAGGGGGCTGTGCAACGTGCCCAGGGCCGTGCAGGGAGTCTGTGGCAGAGCCGGGGTGGAATTCCAGTCTCCTGTTTGCAGTGTGGCACTTTCCAGCAAAAGCCCTTCCTTGTTTTTTTTGTGGAGAGAAGATGAGAAGTTTATTGAGGCTGTCTGTGAAATGTGGCAGGGATGCTGACCTAATAACAGAGTGACTTCATGACACCCTGAGGTCACCATGAGCCCAGGGTAAGGGAGAGTTAGGGACGTGGAGCTTCCCAGTGATCTGTGTGCAGCTTCACTGGCTGGACTAAAACTCAGAGCCTCTTCTTCTTCCTGCTGGCAACCACAGGTACCTCTCGTCCTCTCCCAATCTGAAATGAAATGAAGCCCAACTAATCTAAGATCAATCCGTGTGGATTCCCGTGTAGGTGTGGGTACGTGAGAGGGCCTCTGTGCGTGCAGTCACTACCTGCAGGTACTGAACTAACCTATATCCTCATTTCTTTGGCGAGTTTCCTACCTGGCTACTATAGTTCATATTCAGATACACCACAGCTAGGGTGGTGTTTCCTACATGCCTGCATGTACCCACGGACATGCACATACTGCCAATGGCTAGAGCAGAGTTAGATCTGCTCGCACCTACTCTGAGCTTGCATTACGACTTTCCCATGCTCATGGAGGACCCTAAAAGCCTCTGTTTCACCAGTGAGCAAGTGCTGCACAGAAAGCAAGGCAAGGCTGCCCACCTCCCTTTTCCCCCTGGAGAGGCCACCTCTATGGTCAGACTCCTCTGCTCATCCCATCCTGCTGGGACTGCCCAGATGGGGTTGTGGTAGGTTGTATGCTGAGCCTGTTTGTCCCTGGAGGACTAGCTTCAGATCCGGCATGCCTCTCCTCCCCAGACAGCTGCTAAGTTGGCACTGTCACCACAAGGAATGTTTTAACCTTGGCTTGGCCTCCTGTGCACCCTCTAGGGCTAATTAACACATCCTGTTGTTTGCTGCAGACATGCAGTGCAACTGGATGCTGCTCCCAGATAGGGACTCTTAAGTGGTGTCCACTGGACACGCTAGGCGCTGATGGACGGGGTGTCAGCGCATGGCAAGCAACAGCACAAGGTGGCTAATCAAACCGTGTCCTATTTGGACTCCGCATTGCTGGGTGGGGAGCGGGACGTGAGGGCGGGCTGCAAAGACAGCCATCGCTTTCTGTCCCTTCCATCTGGCCACACGCTGACTCCAGGGTAAGCTCATCAATAATGTAAGGAGATCAATGGACATGGGCTTGGGTCTGTCCACACATTAATGGCCTGCAATTACAGAGGAGTAATTAATGAATTAGCGTCCCTGTATTGATTGGCAAGGCTCCAGAAGGCCAGATTCCTCTGGTTGGGCAGGAGCGGGAAGGAGGAAGTATTGCTTGCAGCTGGGCAGCTTCTTTCTCATAGATGAAGCAGTCGGTGACAAAACACGTGTGCGTTCGTTCTGCGCCACACCCCTCCTCTCACGTGTCTGTCTGATCTCCTGTCCTGCCAATCGCCGCAGCACTTTGGCTGATTTGCAGCTGGGAATTTCATAGGTCACCTGTATGCGCTCTGATGAGAGGTGAAACCCAGGTGTGTTTCTCTGTTCTCCACCTCTCCCTCTAGTAGTCACTATGCTTGTGTGAGCAAGGCGGGAGGGTACTGCACTAGGACTTGGAAGATCCTGGGTTCAACTCCCAGCTCTCTTGTTAGCACACTGTGTCCATGCCTCAGTTTCTCCATCTGTAAAATGGGAGCAATGCCACTGACCTTCTTTGTAGTGTGGTTTGAACAGCCCGGTAGAAGAGCTTGAGGTTATTACAACAACGTCAGAGGCCTATGTAGGATAGAAACTCCCTTGGCACTTTTATGGGTGTTGAACCTGCCCCCCCCACCCCCGGTCCCTGCTGCAGTCTGACATGGGGGTCTTACATGCCTCCTGATCTTTAAGCATCATTGATGGATTCAAACAGATGCGAGATCCTTCTCCCCTGGCTGTAAACCTGTGTGTGCAGGGTAGCTGTGCGCCACTGAACCGTGTCTCGTTGGCGTATTAGGTTCTGAACAAGCTTTTGGGAATCCTTCAGGCTACAGGTTGCCACTGCCCATGAGGAGGGACCCCAGCGAAACAGTGCTGCCGTACCGTTGTTCTGAGGGCCTAACAGAGCTGCACGTTCATCTCCGCAGCAGGCAGGGAGAGACGGGCAATCTGGACTCAGTGCAAATCTCTGAACTTGGTTGGGGCATGTTGGCGGGGGCTGGGGGGCCTGCAGCAGTAATCTGGCACTCTCTGGAGTCTGTGACCCTTGGGATGTGGAGGGCCACTTGCTTTCTTTGCTTTCAGTCACTGGAAACATCTGGGGGAGGTGTCCGTTATCCGTGTAGCTCCGTGAGGTAACATGGTGCATCTCAGTTGCATGGCTCCAGGGCAGCCGTTGATGCCAGATGAGACTTGGACCCTGCAGTGTGGTCACCCGCAAATCTTCCCCCTGCAAGGAGAACAAGCACGCTTGAAGCCGGCCAAAAAGCAGGCCTAGGGTTGTGTCCCACCCAGCAGGCACAGCTCCGGGAAGAAGGGCTTAGCAGGATGTTGGAGGGCAAGGGACTCGCTGCCCACTGCCTCCCAGGAGAGAGGGCTGAAGGGGATGTTCACAACCAGGGTAGCCCAGATCCTCAGTTACACTGAAAGGCAGTTTGCTCCATGCTTCCTGCGGGAGGGCAAGAGCCTGGAGCTGACCCCACAGGCCCTGCACCCCTGAGTACGCACGCAGGCACAGCGAAGGAATTTGGCCACGCACAAGATTTTGCTGCTCAGCCATTGTGTTTTTGCTGCAGGGGACAGAACAGTGTGGCTAGATAGCAATCAGCTTCCCTGGGGATGCTAGCCTAACCCTCAACAAAAGGCCATTGATTACCAGGAAAGGAAGGACCCGCCTGAAGGAAATCCAGGCAGTCTGCCTGGATGCAAAGGGCATTTGAAGCATGCAGCGCACTGCCAAGGGCAGCCAGGAAGGTGGGGGTGTTGGAGAGGAAGGGAGAGATGGGGGGTCTGTTTCCTGGCTGGATTTCATTGCTGAGGATGGGGGGACAGAGGTGGGTGGGGAGGGGGAAGGTTGTTGTGTGTGATTTTTTTCTTTTCTTTTTTTCCTGTGCTGTATGTGGAGGAGAAGCTTTCATCTAGCTGTAAGCCAGACCTTCGGGGTACAGACAGAAGAGCCTGGGTCTGCTCCTCCTGTCTATCTAGTTTCCTGTGTTGGGCCCGCTGCAGTGGTGTAGGATCCCTTACTTTGCAGGGGGGGTGTCATAATCCTCTGGATGGGTGTTTATCCTCCCATTTCAGAGCAGGTGAACTGCAGAGGACACAGCTTCCTCATCCGGCTTTTCTCTGAGTGCAGGAGAGGAAACTGGTGGGACTGTCAGGATAACGAAAGCAGCAGGGGCTGGGGGTGGCTGTGACGCCTTTGCTATTGCCTCTCTGCACAGCGGAGACTGGCCAGTAATGGGAAATAGATGGATGCCTCCATTCCACCAAAGAGGGTGATTAAGGCGGTCTGCTGGCATTGATCCAGACCCTAGGGGCGAGAGTCGGTGGAGGTCGGAGAAGAAGTGGCTGCACTTATCTTGCCACAAAGAGCGATCAGGGCTAATGTGCACGTGTCTCCCCGGGTATTGATCGCGAGGGGGAAGATAGTTCCGCTGTCGGTCACCTCTGCCCAGATGTGCTGCGTTCCCTCCGGAACTGACGGACGCAGAGGTAGCGTTCGGAGGCCAAAGGCAGCCTCCGTGTCTCCTTGCTGCTGTGCTGGTTTGCGTCTTTGAGGTGGCTACAAGGGTTTGTGCCCCCATCCCCTAGAAGGCGTGGCGCACGCTTATCAGCAGTCTCATGTGGCCATGTCACTGTTCGAGTCTGAGCCCCTCAGACCTGGAGGCTCTATCCTTCCCCGTAATGTAGGGAAGAGTTATGGTCCTCATCGCAGATGAAGGATCTGGTTGTTTTTCCCCATTCTCCTGAAGCACTGGCTATAGATCACTAGCTGACGTGATAGGACTGGTGGTCT